GCTCGTCGTCTCGCTTAGGGGTGTAAATTTCGGATTTTGGTCTCGCTTAGGGTGTTCTGGGCAAAATGTCATTATTTTTTAGCCGTCAAGGTCTCGTTAAGGGTTGCACGCGAAGAAATAACAAAACAGAAAGAATTTTGATTCCTCATATGTACTCAATTCATATCAACAAATTCACCATCATTAAAAGTCACTGTACTTTTTATTTGTCTGTTTTATAAACTGGTCTCTTTTAGGGATCTGCATAAGCTTCGGCCACGCCCAGATTGGTCTCTTTTAGGGGTTAAATTCAAAATTTCCGATGAGCATCCGCATCCACTCCATATGGGAGTCCCGCCCCCCGGGAGTACAGTAAGCGATTTACTTATGTGAAAGACTGATGTGAAATGTAAAGTGTGCGAATAAAATTTATTTTTTGGCTGTGTCAAGAATGTCTGGAGTGTGTCACAGATTTGGGGGAAAATAATGGAAATTAACGTCACGGAAATTAATGCAGAACTTAGTTAACAATGCGGAAATTAACATTTACATAAATTAACGCAACTTAAATTAACACGAATTTCAGAAATTCATGTTAATTTCATGAAGCGTTAATTTCCTATAATAAGGTATATAATACTGAACAGATGCATGATAGCATGGAGTCTAACTGTGTTATATAAATTATAAGGAAACAAAAAACAGTGATAGTGATGTCATCTTTTTTTCCATCATGAATCCAGCAGGTCATAAGTCAGAACCAATCAAAATGCAAGAACAATAAATTTTGACCTATTTTATATTTGATATGGTTGTGACACTGTAAATGTTGTGTGCATTATTATCTCACATTTCAGATGCTGCTGGAATTAACATTTTAAACATCAGTTCCACATTACAACAGAAACTCCTCTCATCCTACTTTTCTCAAGATGGCATTGAGTACTCCATTGGGCGTATACCCATGGCCAGTTGTGATTTTTCTACCAGTCCATACTCTTATGATGACCATGAAGGGGATTTTCAAATGGTAAATTTTACCTTGGCCAAAGAAGATTTCCATCTGAAGATTCCTCTCATGTTATCTGCGGTGGAGATGAGTAGACGGAACCTGACATTCTTTGGAAGTCCCTGGGCCGCTCCTGCGTGGATGAAGACGAATGGCAAGATGCAGGGTGCTGGACAGTTGAAGGGTGTTGCTGGTGACAAATATCACAAAGCTTGGGCCCTGTACTTTGCAAAGTTTATCAAGGCCTATGAAGACAATGGAGTGAAGATTTGGGGACTTACAGTTGAGAATGAACCATCAACTGGATATATCAAAGGGTATGTGGTCATGTGAGGCTGCTGAGATTGCTTGTGTTTGATTCATTTTATAAGCTACCTAAATAAATGTCAAAATGCAGTGACTTCTGCAAAAAAGTTGTGTTCATGAAGGTCAGTGTATGTCATGCACACTCCATTGATTCTTAGTAAAATGGGCGCATTGAGTTGCACTTTTTTGCCTGTAATTTTCATTCCAAAACAGATCAGGTGGTACAAAATGAATTCTGCAAATTTAATTACCAGTAGATCTTTTAATTGAGCAGTTTTCAATATGAGAGTTGTAAAACCGAAACTAATGTAAATCACTCTAGATAGCCAGTCGCAAAGGACACAGACAATCCAGTGAACTAATCAAAACTTGAAGTAAATACGTGTAGCTGATGTGAAGCATGTGAAAAATTAATGTGTGCTTACGAGTCACAATAATGGGTTTGGTTTTACTTCCCAAATATGGATGAAAAAGTGATACGAGTTTATGAAGCCAATTATGCAGTGTTGTAATGCAAACCAGTTACTTTTCTAGACTTAAGATCTAGCCAGCATATGTATCTACCTATGATGTAGCCAGTCAAACCATTCGAAAAATGTTTTTGACCTTTTGCTTGTAGGTATGCTTTTCAATGTATGGGTTTCACAGCAGAAATGGAAAGAGATTTTATTAAAGAAGACTTGGGACCAACCTTGGCAATGTTTGGCTACTCTGATGTAAAGGTGATGATGTTAGATGACTCACGAAACTTTGTTGAACCATGGGCTGATACTATCCTTGGTGATTATGAAACTGCTAAATATGTTTCCGGGATTGCTGCACACTGGTACAGAGAGGAACAGACAAGCCCTGATGTACTTACAGCAACACACAAGAAGTGAGCTGTAAAATATTAATTATTGTCTCTTTTATTTTTATATATACAGAATGTATTTATTTAAAATTTTAACCATAGCCAACAGTTCTTTATTTTATGTTTGACCTTTACCAATCACAAAATACTTTTGAAGCTGTTTTCTTCTGTCTGAATGACTAGCCAATGGAAACAATTTGGTTATGCAATTCGTTCATAATGTATGAGTGCAAGACATGGACCTTTCAACTGAAGTTTTGGCATCTTTGCTCACCCTTTTGCTAAGGTTTCCCAGGCTTCATAACCATTCCCCTCTATCAACTATTATTTTGTAACAAATAAAGGATCAGTTTCAAAATTACATACATGTCATTTACTAGAGAAATGTCATGTTGTCAATACTTTAAATGTTCCTAGTGATTAGGCAACTGCTATTTTATTTGTTTTGAGTGTTCACGGCCAGGTTTCACAATGATCCTCTGGTTTGTCAAAATAATTTGATAGCCCTGTAGGTGTAGGAATCCACTGGTTGGTGTACTTGAATTTAGACATACTGTAATTAACCTTATGGAAGACACTGTATGTGTATGTGTATCAGTCTGTATGTGTCTAGAGTATGCATGTTAAGTACAGATACTAACATTCAATAATTTCATGTATTTTACATTACAAAACATATCACAGATTCCCCAATTACTTTATTCTTAACACTGAAGCCTGTGCTGGCTGGACAGGACCACCTTCTGAGAGAGGGGTCCATCTTGGACAGTGGTCAAGAGGAAATGAGTACTCCCACAGTGTTATTGAGGCATGTACCTTGTTCAATATTTACCTAGTTAAATCAAATGGTGGAAATGTCTAGATGTATTTTTATTAACAACTTTGTAAAATTTTATCAAAACAAGGAAAATGGGATGACAAGTTCACTTGTTCTTTACAACTTCTATATTAGGTTCTACAGAAAGTCAATTTGCATTAGTGAATAAAGATGGTGAATTTTAAGCTCAGTAATGAAATGTTACAGACTCAGATATTTTTTTCTTTGTCCCACGTTCGTGTCATGTTGATCAGTTCACTTTTCACACTTCTCAATTTGCATTGTTGGAAAACAAACATTTCTTCACATAAACGTTATTATTAAATTTGTCAAGTAAATGTAAATCAATTTAAATGTTTGAGGTGATTAGCCTCATCTGGTCACAGCATCCCCTCTCAATTTTCTCCCATCCTAGTGTAGTCTGAGGGGGGAGGGGTTTCATAGGTCAATGTTTCTAAAGGAAAATATAAAGTTAAACTGGAATTTCCACAGGGGTCAGGAGAGAATCAAAAGTTGGAGCAAGTGGTACATTCTTCTTTGCTAAATCCTGATGGGTCATTAGGCAACAAAAAGGTTTTGACGATAACAACAATGACTTTAATGTTCTAATCATATATAGAATTTATCCCATTGGTCTACTGGATGGGTGGACTGGAACCTAGCTCTAAACATGGAAGGAGGACCCAACTGGGTGAAGAACTTTGTTGATTCACCAATCATTGTTGATGCCGAGAATGGAGTATTCTATAAACAGGTGTGTCATAAACATTGTATCCATGATATTAACAGCTGTGTGTAAACATGTAGATCTATGTCGAGGAAAAGGTTGTTGTTATTCATCGTGGTGGATGCAATAATAAAGTGTATTATC